GTCGCCAGCGCTGAGAGGGGGAAAAAGGGGTGGTTTGAAAAGACCTTTGGGGTGGTTAAGTTCCACCCCTTTGCCAACCCTCTGCCCATTGCACCTCCCTCCCGGTGCTGGCTCTGATCGCCATTCAAATGTGAACTTTGAGGGGAACATGGACAGATTCGATCATGGCAACATAGTGTGAACATCACTTCAGTTTTGAATTGCTTCATCGATTCAAAAAGATCGAGTTAAAAAACCCCAATTTATCCCTAAGTGTGAATGAGCCCCTGATAGCTAGCATCAGCCACAAAGTTGGGCCCACTGAAATAAATAGGGGTAGGTGTGTCTAGCTCTGTGTCAAACTGTGGTCGAAACCTTGGTGAAAGGTTTGGAACAAGTGCAACCTATTGAAACACCGTTCTTGCATTTTTTGGCAGCCATGTCCATAATAAACAGAAAACCTAGCATAGACAAAGACTTTTCCTCATATTCTGGGAACTGTGTGTCCTAAATACATTTTTTTCATGAAAGAAATAAGATGTAGCTGTTAGAGGGTTGGACTGGGGCAGGGAACAGATAGAGGGTAAAAGCAGGCTTATCCCCCAGCTTTCCCAACTTTCAGAGAAAACCCTCTAACTACATCACCAGCTCCCACAATGGCACAACAACAGACATGCAGCCCATATCACCACCACTCTGTTGCAAAGAAGGACCCATCAAAAGGCAGCATTCACAGCTACAAGTCATACTGCACTGTTATTTCTTTCCCATTCTATCACAAGCACATGTACATGCTCCGCCAGCGGCTGTTGATCACCCCCCATCCTACCCAGCCACCAGCCCACTGGACAACTAGCTGCTCAATTGATTATCTACCCATATGGTGCATTGGTGCATCCAGTGACACACTGGCACAGCACAATTGTGGTGCCCCCAACCCCGTACATGCCCTCTTTCTCTTCTGTTCCCTCATGGCCCCCTGCTGGACCAGCCACTTTGTTAATGTCTTTATGAAATCAATTGTATTGTTGGTAACCTGACATGCTTGCCATCATTTCACTCCATGGGGTATACAGTGGGTTGATGGTGCAACTGCCCACTTGTCTGCTTGTGCGATTGATTCACGGGTGGCTGCCAAAAACGTTTATGGCTGGTGGTTCACCTGGCCTCACCACTTCTGCACTGGCACACAACCCATATGCCTGTGCAATAGTTCACACCTTCTGTTTTGGAGCAGAGCGAAAAGATGTTTTTGTTTAGCCTCAGTGTGGCTTGGTTCTGTCTTCCTCCTGTTTAAGCCACATGTACCACCTGAACAGGTAGGTTTTGTAATGTGGTGGCCATTTCTTTTAGCTTGTGTGGGCAGCCCCTGGGATGTGGGAGATCCTAAGTCATTTTCTCTTAACTTGACATAACTCACAGGGTTCTTGTAAGGATAAAAGGGGGGAAGGAGAAAAGAAACACAGATACCACATTGAACGCAGCAGAGGAAAGGTGGAATGTAAAGAGCTCCTCCTCCCCCAGCTTAAAAAATTGCATATAAAAAAGCAAGGAACAACAGCAAGGACAAACAATTGTAAAGCAGAAATACAGTGTTGTTTTGTATATCCTCTGATAGGGCAAACTCGGCACTAGTGACCCATTTTTCAATGCAGTATTGAATAATAAAAATACTATTGTTGGACAAGCATACATTGAACGATGTTGAAATGTCCAATGTAATTAGTATGTAATTTGTAATTAGCAGAATTTGTCCCAGTGAATAGCTTTATTGACCATATTTTTCAGGCTAAAAGTGGTGCCTTTGATTCTGTTTCTTCTGCTGCTTTCCTAAAAGAGGAAGATGGGCAGGATGTTTGACTGGAGAGCCTCTAACTGTGACATTCCTCCTTATTTCCTGACCTGCTGGCTAGCAAGGGAGGTATTAGTTTCAATACTTCAGTGAAAGACTCCCAGCTGTTTAAGAGACTTGTTATATGATGACAAAGAAGGAATGGCAAAAGATCTTAGGATGACCAACAAGTAAACCAGAGGCTTATAACTTTCTCCTAGCTGGTAAGAAGGATTAACTGCTGTCAATCCTTTTTGACACTATTGGGAGACCTTAGAAGTTAACATAAATTGACGAACTGAAAGTCAGCTAGCAAATCAATACTGCAGAGTAATCAGATGGATTTCACTCTTATCTAAGTAGTATTCAAAGAGATAGCCATGTCACTCTGTTTCAGCATAAAAAGACATAAAGTAGTGTGTTAGATACTAACTGATTTATTAAAGATGCTATTGGTACCCTTATGTAAAACTTTTCCACATAGCTGGAGATGATGATGGTGGTGGTAGTAGTGTGCTGATGATTTAATCAAATTTCTAAAACAAAAATAACTCCAATGACTTGCAGACAAATGCAAACTACAAAGCTGAAGTGGTGCTATGTTCTGCTATGTCAGAAAGACATTATGCCTGACGTTTTCTGCATCATTAAACAGTGCTGTTGAAGACAATATTTGATTCTTTAAATATGTGGTCCTTTAAATATGAGAAGAGCTTCTTCCCATACAACAGGTCTGCAAAGTCAGCTAGATGCGAATTTAGTGCGCAGCCAACCCAGACTACAAGGCAAGTCCCAAGGTCAGACTGCAGTTGGGTTCTTGCCACAAAAGAAGCTGCCACTGTCAACAGCTGTCTTTGCCAAGCCAATGTGCTGTAGCACACACTGGCTTAGGGAGTGAGAAAAAAGAGAGAGAGAATGAGGGCATGAAGATAAAAGAGAGAGAGAATGAGGGCATGAAGCCCTATCAATTCTCCTTGCTCACCTTTCTTTAGTCAAGGAAGCTTTCTTTATTCTTCATTCCTACAGAACAACCATATTTGCCAAAGAGACAAGCACAGTATATGACCAAACCTATGGTAGTTTTGGGAAGACTCATTGGTTTTTGACACACACACACAAAATGCTCCTGCACGAAAAAGAGAGAACACCAAAATCTTTGAATCCTCTGCTTTGAGTCTAAAAAAAAAGCCTGCCTTTTGGAGCATGGTTGTGAGACCAGATAAAGCTGGAAAATGACTTGGCAGTCATCATGGTTTCCTATCCCAGCTTTGGTGTACTGTACATTCTTCTCTCAGTCAGAACCCACCCAGAAAAAATGGCTTTCTCTGTGTAAAATTTTATTATAATAATTGTTCAGTCTTTGAAAAGATGGTTAAGTTTTTAAAAGAGGGTGTCATTTTCTTATGAGTTATTAAACTATTATTTCTATTTATAGCCTGCTCTTTTTGTGAAAGGTCACCCATGCCTGACATGAAGCTTGAATTCCAGATGTCTCCCACCAAAGCACACAACAGGGACCCTCAACATTCGTTCAGAATCACACAATCCAAGACCTCACAAAATCCCCAACAGTTAACACAGTAAACCATCATTCTTCTCACTTCTTATGGCACCAAAAACAAAAATGCAAAGTCCACAAGTGGTCAATATCTTTATTAGAATCTGCCACAATTCCATGAAATTGTGCAAGCTTGCATGTTTCCCAGAACTCTTCATCAGATTAGGTGGCAAAATTTAGGGAACAAGGAAAAGGGAGCATCTAATCTGAGGCCATGTGATTCCTCCATTGGTTGTTGTTGTTGTTAACTGCCCTCGAGTCGATCTCGAGGTTGACTCGTGATCCCTCCGTATCGATCAGTAACTCAGCAAGGCTGAAATCTCCAACTTGGAACTGAGTTTAAATTGAAGACTTCACTGGCTTAAAACATCTAGCCATTTTAAAAAGCCATGTCATAGCATCACATTAATTGTCCTGCTCTTGAAAGGCACAAGAATTTGCATTCTGGGAGGCAAATACTTGGATATTTTGGCAGGAAAAAAGAAGAGAGAAAAAAAGATAAATTGGTTCAAAACACATTGCAGAAGTAATCTGGTTTGAGACCACTTTAACTGCCCTAGCTCAAGGTTATGGAATTCTGGGAATGAAAGTTTGTTGGGGTAGTTAAAGCGGTCTCAAACCAGATTACTTTTGCAATGTGTTTTGAACCAATTTATCTTTTTTTTTCTTTCTCTACCTTTTTACTTTTGCAGTGTGTTTTGAACCAATTTATCTTTTTTTTCTTTCTCTACCTTTTTTCCTGCCAAAATATCCAAGTATTTGCCTCCCAAAATGCAAATTCTTGTGCCTTTCAAGAGCAGGACAATTAATGTGATACTATGACATGGCTTTTTAAACTGGCTAGATGTTTGAAGCCAGTGAAGTCTTCAATTTAAACTGGTTTCAAACCAGATTATTTCTGCAGTGTGGATACAGTATTGGATTTCACTTTTTGGGGAAAAAAATGTTAAGAGCACCTAGCTCAGTAACTGACAGGAAAGTGTATTTGATTAACAGGAAAATATAATTTACACCCAGCGTGAGACCCGTGTGAACTTTTGAGAATAGCAGTGTTTCATCCAAGTTTACTTTTTTGGCAGGAGGGTGGGGGGAAAAGGCAATCACAGGTCAGGCCAAATCGCACGGTGTCAAGCAATTAGCTGCATACCGTTCATTGTTTCATGATCCTTGTTGAGAACCCAATGTTCCTTTAGTGTTTTTCCCCCAACCGAAGCACTCTCCCTTCCCAGTAACCTGATAATCAGATTAGGCACTAAGACCTGAGATCTTGGGGAGAAAACATGGAGCGGCCTTTCAATGAAGTTGCATGTTCGAAAGGTCACTGGCAATGTCCCTTGGGGACAACTGATGCTGCTGAGCACTGGTGGAGATTATCAGATGGGGGGGAAAGGACAGGAGAGAATTGGGATGCTCCAGTCCTTGTTGCACAATTGTTTCCAGTGAATAAAAAGTGATGGGACCATTGCACTTCATAGACGGGATAAGGATGGGATGAGTGCGATGTCGCGGGACATTGTGTGATAATCTTTGTGCAATAAGGATGGGAGCATCCCGATTCTCTCCCGTCCTTTCCCCCATCTGATAAATCTCCGGTGTTTCATTCTTTCATTTCATTCCAGTTTGAAATTGGGAGCCAGTGTGATGTAGTGGTTTGAGTGTTGGACTATGACTCTGGAGACCAGGGTTCGAATCCCGGCTCAGCCATGAAATCCTCTGGATGACCTTGGGCAAGTCATACTCTCTCAGCCTCAGAGGATGGCA